AGACCAGGCGCACTAGCTCTACTACAATCAATTCTACACAGTAATCCAAAAACTTCACTCTCAAAAATATGAAATTTCGTCATCGAGAATTTGCTAGATGTTGGAACAACCAACGGCACATCATTAACCTCGTTGAGTGGCATTGAGCAAACCATCGCGAAATGTTTGTTTAACAGCTCAGCCTTTTTTCCCGGATCTATCATTAGTTCTTTTGAAGAGCTGTCAAAAAGAGGTGGAATGGAAATATTGTTGATTTTATTTAATGTGTTTTTAACTTGACGCCACCAGAGTTTCGATGACGAATTCATCTCAGCTGATAACTTCAGATAATATTCTTTTTTTGCGGGTTTACACGCTTTCTCAAAATCATGTGAAGCTCTTCTCGAATTGGCCTTGTCGTCTTAAATCTACAATCGATTTTATAAAACTCATGTTTTTTCTTTAGTAGTTCTCGTAAATTCTCATTAAACCAAGGGCGATCATTAGATTTAACCACAATAATTTTATGTGGTACCACAAAGTCAGCTATCCATAAGATCATTTTTTCAACTAGCAGAACGCTATTATCTAATCCTTCATCCTCAACTAGCTCATACCAATCCAATTCGGCTTATTATTATTTATAACAATTATTGCTTCTAATTTCAGTTAAAATAGTGTCTAGGTGTACAATAAAATCTCCTATATCAATCCAATCAGATCGATAACAAGCTGACAACAAAATAGTTTTTGATTTAGAGAATTGAATAGAACAGAAGAGTGTTTCAAAATCTACATTATCATACTCAGTTAAGTGTTTACACGATAGATTATTCCTTACATAAATTAAGATGCCACCACCTTTTTTCCCTACTCTATCTCTTCGAAGTGGCATCTGAAAACCGTTTAACAACAGTTCTGAGTTAAGAACAGTATCATCTAACCAAGTCTCAGTGATTACTACTACCGCAGGTTTTTCTAGCTCTGCTAAACTCGCTAAAATTTCAAATTTTTTGACCGTAATGGGATGTGGGGTAGAAATCGCATTTTTGCTATTGTCAGACGATGCCATTAATCTATTAACATTCAACAGCAGAATCGTTTCGCTATGCAACTGATTTCTAGTATAGAACGTTTTAACCATTATCAATTATTTCATACACTACGGTCTTAGAACGCAACATATTAGATCGGGAAAGGAAGGAATAAAATAGATTTGAAGTCATATGATCGCATGTCTCTCTACACATATCTACGTAATAGTCTATGGACAAAAAAGAAGCAGAACTGTAAAAATATCTATATCATCTCAACTGCAAGAAGAACAGATCAAAAATGAAAAAATGAAATATACGGTCAATGTGACCCAGACAGCCATGAAGGTTCAGAATCAGAACCTTTGAGAGTTTTCAATACAGAATAAATTCAATTATCCATGTAGATATCTTTGAATATCATCATATGAATTAATAAATACGATGCCTTGATCTTCTGTTTTATAACAAACTCTTCCTCCTCTAGTAAATACATATTTTCGATCTTCATCTTCTAGACTATCACGCATTTGGTCTAATAACCATTTATCATACCTTGTTACATCTTCAAAGATCGAAATACCAGTTGCTTGTCTGAATTCTTTTCGTTTTAATAGTAAGGATTTTAGTTTAAATCGAGAAAGAAATGCAGCTATAACTGGTTGTGGAGATTGTTGTTCTTTTTTTTTCTGTCCTAGAGGATGGCAATATTCTATATCTTCATTTTTCAATTGAATTCCAATCTTAGCAGCTCCTTCAGTGATTGATTTTACAATATCAGCTTGTTCTTTCATTCCAATGAAACGGAGATTCTTTTATCTTGAGATTCTATCACGTGAATTTGCATTAAACTGAATGTTTTCAAGCTGTTGTTCAATTGAATTAGTTTTTTGTTCTAAAGGTAATTAGTTTTTTGTTCTAATTGTTTTGTTTTGCCTAGGGAAAATTTTAAAAGGGACCACCATGCTTTTGATGAATTTTTTGTTGAAGCCAGTCGTTCATAGTACTTCTCTTTGGGTCGAATACATCCTTTTTCCAATCGATCAGCGTATCTCTCATAAGCACTCTTATCTGCATCAGATTTAGTGTACAGATAACGTTTATAACACCTCTGTTTCATAGTATGAAGGTCACGGAGCTTGTCTGTGAACCAGAGTTGGTCAAGAGACGATACCGTGATCCACTTGTTTTTTAGACAAGAATTAGCAACTTCTAAGAATTTATTTTGAAACGCCTCAGTTTTATCTGTACATGCTATCTGATGATCGATAATGCAGTGCAAGTTCGTTTTCGAAAGAGCTAGTCGAAAGCCATCCCGGTTACTATGCTTGTAGTCGTATATGTGACATTTATAAGAAAACGGCATTTGTTTTATTTGAAGAAGTGAAAATTCGACCATGCAATGGTCACAAGTCGTAGTTAAGGGAGACAAGACATTGACATTAGTGACAGAGCTGGAATTATTGGTAAATATCAAATCTAGTGGGTTTCAATACTAACTGTGGGAATCCCTCATTTATGAAATCGTCATTAATAGAGATATCTCGCTCTAGTTTTTTCTTATTCCTAAGTGTCATTTGACGTGTACGATAACGCAAGAACCGCACAATAATAGCACGTGGACGTTGACCCATCGAATTGTTCATTTCACCAATACGATGGCTGACACTAATATCTTCTTTATTAATATCAATATCAATTTTGGCACATGTATCAATTATTAACTGATCTGTATCTTCTCCAGTATATTCTGCAACACCATAAAACCGAAGATTTATTCTTCTATTATAGGTTGATAGATCATCAAAAGCAATTTGTAATTTACTTAATTGAATTTCTAGTTCATCAATTCTTTTTTCAAGTGGAGCAATAGCTTTTCTAACGATTTGCGAAATGCCTTTTAACATTACATCGGACTGAAGCGCTTCTCTGACTAATTTTTCAATATTTATTTGAGAGTCGTTAATTGCATCAGTACCTTTTGATATGTGGCTTCTTGTGGAGGTTTTAGCTGGCATGTTGATGGTAACGTACAACAAAACGATGAAATTTTTAACTTAGTAGCGTGATGACGAAAGAAAAGAAGTATATTAAAACGTACAGACAGACAGACAACGTGTTTACTGTGATGAAAAATAAAGTAGAAATAAACTGTTGCTAGATAGCAATCAACTTGATAACAAAAGCATCAGTTTTGTCACTTTTTTACCGTTGTTCAAACGACTGTTTTTCTATGGTGTTGAGACTGTGCTGACTCGGTAAAATTGGCAGATGGGTTTTCTGCCGTTGAACTAACGACTGGGCTAGAATAAATGAACCTCGCAGTATTTTATCAATAACTTCTTTAGCTTTCATCTGTTCGAGCTAAATTTCTTTTTAAAAGATTCATCTTTTAATTCTCTACAAAACCGTAGACAGATTTGTGTTATAGAGATAAAAGTAAAAACGTTATTATTGAAACACTGATAACATGCAACATCAGCAACTGTCAAGGACAAATATCCAGATTGATTTTTGATCTCTTTCTGCCAGTAAAACACATTTTGAAAAGCTTCAAAGCATCATTTCTGGTACAATCAAGTGCGCTCTATCTAATGGGATCCAAGAAAGAACATTTCAACAAAAAGTATCAATGGAAAATCGACTTTTTGGACAACAGGTTCTAATTCACTATACCCAGTCTTTGTGCGTGGATCTAGTCGACAGCTTAAAACATTTATTAGAAATTAAGGTAGACGGCCAGTCCACGTAATGGTAGATTTTTCTGTCAAAGTTGAAGTGCAAATGCGGCTAAAACTAGCACTACTGTGTTGTAGAGGATAGTCAATAATGTATAAAAGTGCATTCTTTTATCTTCGTTTTGCGTTCATTTTTTAGAGAAAAAGGCTTCTAAGCAGATGGCGCTTTGAACCGTAAAAGAACAGCGCACCGATGAGTTTTTTCATTTTTATTCGGGGTGAAAGTTAGTTGTTTCTCTGTTCCATTGTGGCTCGGGTCGAAAGTAGAACAGATAAACTTATTTTTCACGTAAAAGAAATTAATTTCTGTGCTCAGATGACTGAGTCATCTGAATTTGTAAACGTGGTATTTTGAACGCGTGATTCCGCCACGAAATTTCTCTGCAGTTTTATTTTTGTCAC